ATTTTCTCATTGTTGCCCTGGTTCAGGCCTGCATGTATGAAGACAAGCAGGACTATGGAGGAAAGGACCTGGGAGCTACAACTGGATCATACTCAAAGGGCTTCTTGGCCCTGACCCACAATCACCCCCACTGCAGGAAGAAAAGCTGCACCTAAATTCAGCTTCCCACAGGACCCTAAAAACACCTCTTGAGCAAAATAAGCTGCAATTCTCCACAGCACCTGAAGCCCATGGGTTCTGGGCTTTCCAAACAACTCTGCAAATAGTTGATACTAAAACCAGACTGCTTAACACCTTATCAGTCTTTTCATCACTAATTGTAAGGCCACTCCCACACTTGGCCCACTAAGAATAACAAAGGGACCTCTGTTACATGTTAGATCTAAAATGTCCCCCAAAAGTCTTATATTCAGACCTGACTGCACCTGGTTAGAAAAGACAGTCACTAGAGGATAGACCAGGAAGGGCGTATTCTTGTCCCTGGCTCCCCACCTTGCTGTCCCAGGACTGAACAGCTTCCTGTGCCAGGTTCTTTCACCATGCCATTCCTGTGGGGGAGCCTGACTACTGACTGAACCCACCAGAAACTGTGAGCCAAAATCAACCTCCCATCTTTTAAAGCGTGGGTCTGAGGTATTTGTCTCATCAATGAGAAAGTGACTAGTGCAGACTCTATCAATTGGGGCATGCCCAGTGCCAGAGCAGACACTTAGTATGCAGCCCACAAACTTGGGTCCTTCCGTCCTTCTCTGCATAATCCTGATGGCCTCTCCTTCATCTGTGATTTAGGAGAGCACCAATGGATGCCACTGTGTTTGCTCCTCTCCCTTTCCCCAACTTGCTCCCTGTGAACATCTCGTCCACGCATCCATCAGAAACAACTACCTAAACACAGGACAGAACAACCACCTCCTCCTAAACCTTCCCCTGAAGAACAAGCCCAAATTTCACAGCATGTCATAAAAAGCCTCCAACATTCTACCTCCAGCTTTCTGCACTCCTTTTCTGTTTCTCCCCTTCTACACACACACACACACACACACACACACACATCACTATTCTCAACCCTTCCCAACACTCCACAAAGCACGGAAGTCCTCACAACTCTGAGCACTCGTCTTTGCCAGAAACAATCACCCACACTGTCACCTTGGAGCATAAGTTGATACAGAACACTAGCACTCCCTCCTCCAGGAAGTCCTTCTTGACTCTCTCTGGGAGACTTGGCTCCTGCCACTTCTTCCCTCACATGACAACAGTATTTCAATCCTCCTCGACTGAAGGGACTGTCTTGTGACTTCAAGACAGTCAGTTTTTCAACTATCTGCAATCAATTATTATTTGCTCTTAAAAGAGTTTCACTGTGAAGAAATCTGGAAGTCTCTCTACTGCTTCAGGTTTTTATATGTAGAGTCCCCTAAAGTAAAATTATAATGTACAATATAGAACCTTTTCTGAAAAACTCACCTGCAGCTCAATTCTATCCCTGCTTTAAACAATAATATAACTGCTTTATAGGATACCAAACATCAAATCAATATTAATGGTATAACAATAATAATTTCCTTTTTAAATAATTGGTGTTGAGAAATAGCCAAACCAGTTGACATCAGACTTTTATATTTTTCATCAGAAAAACAATTCACCACCAATGACAAATAACAATCGGGCCACTAAAACTACCTGTCACGCATCTAATGAAGACAGATTCTCTGGCCACAACATATAATATGTAATATCCAAAAGCGCTGCTGTAATTCACAGCTAATTATGAGAGATGTCATGGCCCTAGCTCTTTTTTCTAATCTACTCAAACCTCACAGGAGCCGACAGCCATGCAAGGATCCCAACAACCCAATTAGCACCCACCCCTGCCCTAGGCTGCTGCTTCTCCCAGGAGGAGCCCCAGCATCAATAAACCATACTTTCTCACAAAACTCTTCGCTGACAAGCCATTGCTGCCCAAGGAATAAAGACAATACTTCTAAGGAAAAGTCATGTGGGAAAGACAGAGATAGAAAAAGGATATCATTTGCCTTCCTTTAACAGCTCAGCAGTCAGCAAAATTGAAGACCATCAATTCTGCCTGATTAAGGAGACAACTGCACCAAGAAATAAATCCATGAGTGGTACATCTGAAGAGCCTCGGTGATAACCAACAGTCACCAATTAGATGTGTGTTTGTTTGTTTAATATAGATACATTGTAGACCTTTTTCTTGCCATTTTTTCCTGTATAGCCTTCTTTGTGACTAATTTTAAAAATTTTCCTTTCAGTGGGGCATAATAGGATGCATTTACTTTATCCCCCAGGAAATACAACACAATCAGATAATTTGTTTGAAAGACTCTAAATTGTTTGACTTCATTGAAAAAGAATCTATAAGGATATGCTGATCTCCAAGTAAAGCCTACAAAGCTTTATAAATCCACAAGAAAGCTCTAGAGTATTCACAGCACATAACAGCCAATATCCTTGTAATTTTGTTCCAAGCCTGTAAAGCTGTTTTATTGCAAAATATTCTTCTTAGTGTTCTAAACAGTCACCGTAGCCTGAACATTATCAAAAGATATGGGTCGGATAATTGTACTTTTAGTTTGTTTTCCTCATGGAAATATTATTCTTCTATATTTTTAATGCTAAGCTAAAATATGTAGTCTAGCTTTTGGCTAAATAACTATCACCTAACTTGATATAAAAATATTGGCAAAAGCAAATAAAACTATATGGATGCATTTAAAGAAGGAATTCTCTTATAGTATAGAAATTTCAAAGACTTAATTTTATACTTCTGAATATATTATCATGGAAATCAATAAGGATGACCACTGTATCATATTTTATAACAGTACAATAACTGAAATAACAAAAATGTAAAAAGTATGAAATAAGTCAAATGAAATGAAAATCAATACATTGCAAAGTTATATAGCTTCTAAAAATAATGGTATAGGAGAATATTTAAAAAAAAGCAAAAATGTTTCCAGGAAGCTAGGCATGGTGGTGTACTTTGAAAGATGGAGGCAGGAGGATTGCAAGTTTGAACCTAGCCCAGGGAATTTAGCAACTCTGCAAGATCCTGTATCAAAAAAAAAGTTCCTAGGATACTGCAAGATGGAATTTTAAAAATGGAAGCTAGATCTATATTATACATATACACACAGCACTATGTTTATATAGGAACATACATATTTGTGTTATAAACATGTATTCATACATTTATATTTCATCATTTATAAGATGATCTCAATTTTGTTTCCTTGTATGGAGGTGTGAGTTTATATGCATGTGTGTGTACATAAAAACAGATCAAGTATAGAAAAAGGTCTGAAAAGAAAGGTATTTAAATATTTTTAAAGTGTCTTCAGGGACTGATATTCTAGATTATTCTTTTACCTGTAAAATTTTTAATTTTTAATAAATTATTACATGAAATGTTCACTTATGTCACCTAAATTTATACAGATGTGTACTAGTGTGAAGTTCTAACCTTACGGTAGATTATCTATTCTGGGTGGCTAATGGCCATCATTAAATATTTCGATGGTTATAAGCAGCATTTAAAGGATCAGGGACATATTACATGTAGGCACATTTAATACCAGCACTCAGGAGGCTAAGGCACAGGATTGCAAGTTGAAAGCCAGCCTGGGCGGCACAGGAAGTTCAAGGCCAATCTGCACTACATAGTAAAACTCTGTCTCCAAAAATAATAAAACAAAAACAAAAAATGAAATAATCAGAACAGCATTCTTTTCTTATCCATAGAGCTAAGTGAGAGTAAAGCTGAATCCATGTAATGCTGGATTACCATACTGAGTCAGCGCCAGGATAGGCAGGGGCCAAAGTAAGTGCAGACCCTGCACAACCCACCTCAAAGGCAGGTCCATGACTCCCTCCAGCCCCAACCCATTTGCTCTGACACTGGGACCACCAAGTGTGCAAGAGGTAGCAGGTGCCATGTAACACAGCTGGCCAGAATTCAGGTCACAGCAGGGTCCCCAGCAGTGGGGCCCAGACCCTTCCTCAGTGTGGCACCGGCAGACTGCCCTCACTCTGAGCCTGGCAGACAGAAGGCCCATGAACATCGTGTATGGTAAACACTTACTGCATAACAAGGAGAGAGGAGCTGAGTCTCTCCCCCACAAGGGTCATATCTACTGAGAGAAACAGAGCAATCATTTAAAGAGAGTGACAACACAATAATGGGCCCATATTGCTGCATGTGGTGGTGCACACCTGTAATCCCAGCACTTAGGAAGTGGAAGCAAGAGCATCATTCTGAGTTCGAGGCCAGCCTGAACTATACAGTGAGGTCCTGTCTCCCAACAAACAGGCCTATGAAATACAGAGATTAGAATAGGGCAATAAAAGAGGAAGTTTCAAACTTTAGAGATAGACTAGTGTAGAAAGCACTGCGAAATATAACCAAAAAGAGTTTTGAGAGCAACAACATACATGTAATCACCTGTAACTCAAGATATTTCTCAGGTTTCCTAAATTTCTGTTACTTAGGGCAGTATAAACATGCATTTTAGTTGAAAAGGGGGTTAATTAAAAGTATTTTCATTCAATATTTCGATTCACTTTCTATTTACCAAACACATAAGTGAAACGGAAAAAGAGAGGGCAGAGGGGAGGGGAAGAGAAGGAAAAGCAAGATCATTTTGGCAACACTGAAATTTTCGCTCCTTGCTTATCATCTCCTTAAAAGGACCCTAGATAACGCAAAAGTGAGACAATGTAACATATTCATGTGCTTTTTATTTCATAGCTGCAGTGTATGTATTTGAATCTATTTATAGAGACTTCTAGCCATAAATAATAATTTTCTAATTTTTAATATTACTTCTGAGCAGTTCAGTAGATTCAATTTTGGTGCTACTGTGAAGAATAGAAATAAGGCAAAGTGTAAAATCAGCATGCCCACATTCACACAGCAGAGTCATGGCTACACCCCATTCAAACCCACATCAGCCCACACAGAACAACGCCCATACCTGAGAGGGAGAACTCTCCTTTCTGGCTTTCACTTTCTCTGATCAGAAAGGCACCCGTCTGATTTTCTGAATATAATAGTTGGTTTTCTGCATCTGCTCTTTTGATTGCTCCAAAGAACCACCTAAAAGAGAGACATATAAATTTTAAATGATCAATTAACATTCATTTTGAAGGCACAAGAAGCTTGGCAAGATCAGAAATATTTGTTAGTCTTTAGTGAAATTATTACAGATATAAATGGCAGCTTCGATATGTGAGGTAGTTTTTCAGGATGTCGGTAACCATACCAGGACCGATAAGAAGAGATCTTGAAGCAGAAATTTGGCTAGCGCCCACCCCAAAATCCCTTCTTATCCTGCACTCTGAGATCTTATGCCCTCCTGTCAAAGCCAAAGCCCACATGCAGGCCTTACCATGTAAGCCAGCTCCTGAAATTACTCAGCATCACCATCAAACTGCCTGCTGCCTCACCTGCTGCCTTCTTCATGTCAGGAGGCAAATATTCCAACTGAAGGATTCATATATCTCACATTCAAGTGTGAGCAGTTAAAAATGCACTTCTCCAGGCATTAATTCCTTTCCTTTCCCTCCCCTATCACTGTCCAATCCCACTACAACACACTAGGACTTGAAATGTTTAGGGGGAATTTAGTAACATAAAGGAAACTTTAAACAGTGCAAAGATTATATGGAAAAACTATATCTACATGGGAATTGTATTCTTGGTGCTACCTTTACCTCTGGTCTTTACCCACTTATCTTTACCCTTCCAGAAATCATGATAACACACTCTTTATGCATCTGATCAGCCCAACAAATAATTATAGATCATACTATCAGATCCACCCTGAAATATGTATCAAGTGATAGGAAACAATGTGATCTAATAAGAAAAATCTGAGAACGCTTGCTTTTCAGAAACGACCCCTCCCTCACTTCAGGACCATGAAGATGAGCATGATCATTAAGGATTTTAAATAAACACTCATCTTTTCAGACATCATCCTTACCAACGTAAATACTCAAAGAGAGAGGTGGGTTACTGACATTCTGAAATGTAGACTTGAAGGAGAAAATACAGCAGGGAGAAGAGATGTAAGCTACCAAATTTACCTCAAAATTGCTTGACAAGTTGTTGGTTTTGGAGATTGTGAAGGTGCTAACAACAACAAAATTAGAGGTAAGTTTGGAGAAAGGAATTAGAGAGACATGGTTTGCTTATCATTTTTCCAATTATCAAATTGTAAACTGCATCACATTAACTATATTCATCAGGATAGTTCAGGTCATGTTGGAGTAATGAGTAGCTAAAAGTCTCAGTGTCTTAAGACAACAGCTATCTTTTCACTCATCTGCACCTCTCCTAACAGGCATATGGAGCTGTACTCTGTCTGTCTCACTCGGAGAAGGTCTATCTTTATGCTTCCATGATGCTAAGTTCCAGAGCTTCTATCTAAATTTTCTACTCCGAAATCATCTTGTTAGCAAATAAACCACCTGGCCATGCCTAAATGCAAAGAGAGTAGAAAGTGCAATCTAATCATTTCCTAGAATGCAAAGAACTGGAAACACAAGGTGCACTACATTAATGGCTACCATACTGATTCAATTTCTGAGTCCAAACTGATGTCCACTGAGTATTGTCTGTCCAATTGAAACCACACAAGGCATGGAAATGTTCTGAAGTGGGGTATCAGGAGTTCACCAGAAAGTAGAAATGCACTTTTACCATTTCAGAAATAAGTCAAGAGAACACCAGAACATGGGAAGAAAAAAACCTCATATAGAACCAAATATACAAATTAGTAGTGAGAGGACAGATTATTCAATAAATGATGCTGGTACCATTAATAATCCACATGATGAAATACAGATGCTGCCTATAGCACACACAATAATTTTACATAAAGGCTTAATGTAAAAGGCAAATTTTTCAAACTTTCTTTTTTTTTTCTTTTTTGGTACCAGGGATCAAACTTGGGTCCTTGCGCTTGCACAGCAGGTGGCAAAACCACTGACCTACATTCCCGGCCCTCAAACTTTTGGAAGACGTTGGACTGAGAAAAAAAAAAAAAGAAAATGACATATTGACCTCAAGGGAGAGAAAAGGTAACATTTATTACATCACAATTAGAAACTTCTGCACCAGCAAATCACCAACATACAAGCCACAGACTGGAGAAAATATTTTCAAAATACATAACAAAAACTAAGATTAGTATTTAGATCATACTAAGATTTACAATCAATAAAAGAGAAAAGCACAGGAAATTTGGCAAAGGATATAATTAGTTCAGAGAAATGGAAAGCCCAAATTAAAAATCAAAAGGACAGAAGTTCACCTTCTAGCTATGTTAGTAATTAGGTACTGTATTCACCATAAGATCACAATAAAACACAAGCTTACACTTTCCAGGCTGGCCATAATTTAAAACTCTTCCAGTATTAGGTATTGGAAAAATGTGAAACAAAAGCCTTAGTACAACACCAGTGGCAGTATAATTTGGTACAAGTTTAGAGAACCACCTGGCACCATCTGGTAAAGCTGAATGTTTCAGGGTTTCAAGTCGACCTGACTGCAGTACAGCGTGCCTGGCTACACCTTAGGAAGAGGAAGAGACCAACAGCAAAGAGCAGCAGCATGTCACTGGGAAGGTTACTTATCCTCTCATGTTTTGATTTCCTCTGGGAATTACGGTAATTATAATTCAGCCTTGTTTTGAGATGAAGAAAAGTCAGATCACTAAAATGCTTGATGTCCAGGCACATTCATGCTCAGTACCTCTCAAGAGAACTGGCTGAAGGAAGAAATTATAAATTTAGACGTTTCCCATCCCAAGTGACCCTTTCGTCCTGTCAATCTTCATTAGGACAAAGGCCACCAGGTGGCAGTAGGCCATTTGACTAATTCAAAAAGACTGAAACTTCAGTGTAATTACTGGAGGTTTTGTATTTTACAAGGAAACAAAAAGACAAAGTAAGCCTTAAGAGGAAAGAAAACAGAACTTAAACAGTTTTACTAAGTGTCAACATTTAAATAATATAGATATCAATCAAATGTTAAGGTATCAGGAAAATCAACATCCAATTAGATGCATTAGTGCTATTAAAATGTCATTTTATGTAACAGAGTTTAGCTGCCTCAGTGATTCACAAAGTAGGAACCAAAGTTACTCACAATTCCAATCTGACTGAGATCATTTCATCCTACACTCTTTAAAGAAAAAACCCATGCCCAGTAACTGCTGACTAAAATTTTCAAGAGTTAAACCTATTGTTTCTTTGTCTAGTACAGTGGACCTTCAAGTTACAACTGGCCTGACATATGAGCAACCTGGGTTATAAGTAGAATTTTAGTTTTGACTTACAACCAAAATCTTCTGTTACAACCCAAATCCCAGGCGCTTGTGCTTCCAGATGGTCTCAGATACAGATTTAACCCTTAAAGAGTTCTGAAAGGAACATTACAGCATCCTTTCCTGTGTGGGGTTGAGAAAGCCTGGGCCAATGTCTCTCTAAGGACAGTGAGATCTACCTGTATACAGGAGAGAGACTTTGAAGGCTGTGAAGAGGAGCCTGAGCCTTCAGTTGACCAACTTGAGTTATAACCAGCCCTCAGGAACAAATTGAGTTCATAAGTCAAGGGTTCACTGTATCTCTCTAAGAACAAAGGCGTGCCTTCATTTCCCATAAACAGACCCTGAGAAAAAGAATAAACTCCTAAAACTAGTCTCAGAAAAAACCTGGACCCTCCCTGAAAACACAGAAAGGAAGGCAAGTGAACAAACCAACTTGGCATAACTACCCATGGGCAAAGGAACCTGGGAGGACGCTGGCTTGGAAGCTCAGGTTTGTAGGGCAGGGGATCATCATGGTTACGCATGTCAATACGGAGAAAGCCAACCACTGTCCTCCCCACTGTGACTCAGGAGACTTTTGTGTCACTAGCCTTAAGCATGGGGCTTAAGGCTCATAACCATGTCTCGTCATTTATGGAATGGAAATGAAAGGCTAAGACTCAGGGTCCCCTTGAGCAAGTGTGCTTCAAATGATTCAGCTGCCCTGACCTGTGTTTTACCACTGCCAGGATGGCCTCTGCAAAGTTCCTCCCTTTCCAGGCAATCAGGTCTCCCCCTTCTTCAAACTCTTTCTAGGCTCAATGCCCCTTGGCCCACAGCAAGTTAACCTTGCTACCCTCTCCCCATGGCATGAAAAGGACAAAGGAAAGAAAACAATGCCTGTACGCATTTTGTAAGTCACTCTTTCCTTTCCTTTCCCCTTCTTCCACAATAACCTCTGTCTAATGAATCATGATTTGAGTTAAGGCCATTCTTCATTATCAATTCTCTGTAGTGTTAATAGCTTATATTTATTGATCATGTGCAAGGAATCAGGCACTATTGCCACAAGTTTTCATGTGTTAACTCAGGCTCTTCTGCTCACACCACTATCTCTGGATTTCTTAAAACTTGTGCTGGTACATCTCACCAGTCCATACACACAGGTGTTTCTGCTGTTGCTGCTGCTGCTGTTGTTGTTGTTGTTTTATTTTATTTTGGAATAAAACTCCTATTAACCTGGAATTTCAGTTCTTCTACCATCTGAACTTAACCCTTCCTGCAACTTTGTCTTCCTACATCCTCTCCAACCAAACTTACACTGATACCATTAGTTGCACTGGCATTTCTTAAACTGGCAGACTCCGAACTCCTATAGTGCTCAGTGACTACCCTTCCAGTTTGACATGGAGTATACATAAGCTTGTGCTCAATTTTTAATTCATTTGCTTATTCTAGATTATTCCTTGTGTTCACTTGGAGCTGCAGAACTTGCCTGGCCAAGGACTAAGTCTGATAACTCCACATATCTCTGGCAGGAAATATTGGCCATGTGTACTTTGGAGCTTTTAAATATTGATCAAACTATTAAAACATTATTCTTTAATGTGAGCATTTTATAAAGAACTTAGGTTTACGCTGAGAATTGAACTTTCTTTCAATCATGCCCGTGTTTGCCCATAATCTTTCATTTGTGCTAACCCTATGTAGTACCTTGTATAAAGCATAAAGCTCCTCATTGGCTTCCATTGCAGAGCAGTTGTAAGGCTAATTGGCCTCAGACCATGGATTCCAATCTGACCTCTCTCTCTTCTCCCAAAGTGAATATTTCCTAGGAATGCAAAGATCAAAAATGAACCTGACTTTTAGTCCTTCAAAATACAAGCCTATCAGTGCTACACACATATAAAGAATGTGTGATAAAGGGACAATATCACTTTAATTCTTTATCTGAGGTAGGACTGCAGTGCTATAGAAATCAGGAAGTCTTTGAGTCGCTTGATAAAGCTTTTATGTTGTTGTTGCTCACCTTTATTGTCAGACTAAAGGGGGAATTTTAAAGAAACTATTATAGAGCAGAAGTAAAGAAAAGTAATTTGTGCTGTCCTCACCAGGGAAGTGACTGTTCCTGAAAGAATCTGGTTATTACCTAAAGCCACTTCCCTGAGTCTAGTTATCAAAAGCATGTTATTCCTCACACAAAGAGTTCACAAAGAGTTCGCAAAGAGTGCAACAAAGTTCAGACAGGCACTCAATCTCAAAGCACTGTCTTTGTTTCATAACCATCCCCTATGTGTGTAAAAGGAAATGGAAGCCAATTTCGATTTCTCTTTTAAAATAAAAAAGGAATGTACATATATAATGATACTGACAATCATCAAGCTTGGATAAAAATGCAAACTTTAATCCACCTATTTTATTTTTGTGTAGTATGTATGATTATATTTGTCTTAGAATCTAGAAGAAGGAATTGAAAACATTAATTATTAAATAATTTCTATCTTGGTCACATCCAAAAAAGCCAAATGTAACTGACCTTTTAGTGCCTGAGAAAATACCTTAGTTCACAAAACATCACAAATATTCACTCCTGTTGTTTCTATGAAAAAGTTTTTGGGTAGTAGCATAGCATATTTCATTTTTTAAGCACATGTTTGCAGTTCATAATGTTTACACTTCTTGTGGTGAGTTGGTACACATACATAACACATCTTCATTCTTTATTTTCACCCCCTTTCAATCCCCTTACATCCCCCTCCCTCTATCTCTTGATCCCCTTCCCATTTGAGAAAGATCTATCTCTCTTCTTGTTATCTTTTATTTTGCTCTTTTTTCATAATTTCAGTTTCTCATGTAAGAGAAACTAAGTGATATTTAAGCTTGAAGTAGCACTCTGCCATAAAGAAAGTAGTATATTTCTTAATGGATGTAGGAGCATTAATTTCAGAAGTGACAGAACCACTTAATTTCCTGCTACCCTCCAAAACAGTAGTTATCTCCTCTCATGAGCCATTTCCTTTTCATTCCCAGAAGAAAAATAAAAGGAATTTTAAAATTCACTCAATTATTTAAAATGTTAATCCCCAGTGTCATGAATATTATATCATGATAGTATTATGTCATGAATATTATATTTACAAAGTAACTTATTTTTTGGAAATAGCCTTCAAAGAATAAACAGGACTAAATTCTGAGTTTAGTCAGCAAGTAGTTGGTATGTGTACCCATTCAAAATAAGTTAATCATGTCACATTTTGGACTTATCCCATTCTAAATTTCCTAGATACAGGTTTTTCTTACAAAAAAATAAAGAAGAACATCTGTCTTCTTTTTTTGCCTACACCACAGGTGATATTTAAACTATTTGCTGACTAGTAATGTACATGCACACCATCAGAAGACACATCAGCAAACCTAGGGGCTTATGTCTAAATTTCAGCTATGGTACCCATCATGTTCACACTAAGTGGTGCACTATGTCATTGCTCACCTTCATGAATTTTTTTATCTCATATAAAATATTATAAACATCTTGAAGGTATCTTTACCTTCTTAATACATAATATACTTTCTGGGTTGTTTTTGTTTTTGGGTACCGGGGATCGAACTTGGGACCTTGTGCTTGCAAGGCAGGCGGCAGAACCACTAAGCTAAATCCCTGCGCCCACCTTTCTGGTTTTTCATGTGCTTAATATACTGAAGTATATCATTAAGCATTAATTTCAAATATGAGAAAAGATGAAGAAGTAAAAGATGGGCATCTTAGGATACTTAAGAGTATCAAGAAAGAGATAAAAGACCACTGTAAGAGGCAAGTCAAAAAGAAAGTGCTAAAACATAAACCAAAAAAAGCATGGAATTGTAGTGGTATCAGTCAGAGAAATTGTTAGAAATCTTCTTAAAGAAAACATACTCTGAATAAGATTCAAAAAATATGACAAATCCAAAGAAATAAAGGACAAATCGTG